CTCCATAATCTAATATATCTGATGCTGCAACTTCAACAGGAAGTTTAGGCATCTCATGTTGCAATAATGGCTCCTTAACATTATTTCTACTAAACTCTACAGTTTGCAACAAACCTCTCAATATCTACAGTCATACCTGACCAATAGAACAACTTTCTGGCCCTATTTTTAGTTTTTTCGATACCCGCATGTCTTTTATGTAACTGCTGTAACATGTGGTATCGCAACTCTTTGGGAATACAAATTCGATTATTATTAAAGATCATTCCACTTTTAAAAATTATCTCATATTTGATTTTATAGTATTTTTGTATCTCTTCATCTTCTACTATCAGGCCAACTCTATATTCTTGAATGATCCTAAAACTATTATCAGATTTTGTTTGTCTTCTAGTCGCGCATTAGATATTGGATTATTCAATTTTTAAGCAATGTACAATTTCTAACATTGTTGGATCGTCCGCAACTTTATTTTTAATATACGACCCACTGAGTAAATCAGCTATATACATTCGATAACCTGGTAGGTATTCAATGACAAAATTGTGTTTCAAAACTTTTAACCTCATTCTTTGTAACCTACTAGTAATTTTGTCAATTCCTTTCATTTAAACCCCTATTAATGGCTTGTGATCTGACTGTACGATCACTTTTCTACCATAAACAAACTGATGAAATTTATTAAGCGCCTAACATATTGCTAAATACTCTTTTTCAATCTGAGCATACCGTTTCTCTGATTCTAATAGGCTACGTGAACAAAAGGCAATTGGTTGTTCTGACTGCATTAGACACCCTCCCAATCCATTTTGACTACTATCACACTGAACTATAATCGGTTTGCTTGAATCAAATATTTTAAGTATGGGCAAATTGGTTACAATCGTTTTTAACTTTTGAAATGACTCTGAATGATCAACTGTCCACACAAATTCAACATTATTTTTAACTAGTTTTCTCATAGGTGCTACAATTTCTGCCAGTACTGGTATATACTTTTTCAAATAATTTGCCATACCCAATATTTTCATTACCTCTTTTTTATTATTAGGTGTCTCTAGTGCCACTATCGCTTCTATGTATGTTTTGTCAGGTTTAACTCCTTCCCCTGAATAGATTTGTCCCAAATATTTAACTTCTTTGATTTTATACTGTACTTTTGTTTCATTAAACTTAACACTAAACTGTCTAGCCCGTTGTAAAACCTTTGCCAGTAACTCATCATGCTCCCTCTCACTATTTGCCGGAATAATGATATCATCAAAATAAATGTGTACATCTTTGTCTCCAAATATTTGCTCATTTGTACGCTAAAAAACTTCAGGACTGGAAGCCAACCCGAAAGGTAACCTTTTGAAACAAAACTTCCCGAATGGAGTCATAAATGTACAAATTTGACTACTTTCTCTGTTTAAATTAATGTGATAAAACCCATCCTTCATATCTAGTACTATGAAGATATTTTTTCCTTGTAATTTTAGCCCTATTTCTTCAGCAGTTGAAATAGGGTGTCTGTCTAAACAAAGTCGCAGTGACCCATTAGGTTTTTCTATGCATACAATATTGTTAACCCATTCTGTCGGTTCATCTACTATTTCAATTATATTTGTTTTGACTAAACTATCTAATGTTACCTGTAACTTTAACTCAACTGTATCTGGTAATCTTCTGCAACCTCTTACAACTGGCTGATAATTAGTTTTTAGTTTGATATTATATTTAGATATATTTCCTTCCCCCTGAAAAATATCTTTATTCGTACTAATGAACTTGAATAATTTATATTTTTCAGCCTCATTCAGTATATGTTTCTCATCTGTGACTACCTCACCAACTTTCACAACTACATTTAACTTACTACAAGTATTTAATCCTAAAAGGAGCTTGCTTTCAAGGTTTACAACTACAAATTTCAACTTAACCTCAACTAACTTAACAAAACATATACCCTAGCGCAACTATCTTGTTTCCTCTATACCATACTATTTTTTGACTGGTTCTTATTATTTCTTTTTCTTTTTTAAGCTGTCTTTGACTTCCTCTATTATTATTATTACATGCAAGTGCAAAATGCCCGAGTTCACCACATTTATTACACTTTTTGCCATACGCATAACATCTTCCCCTGGTGTGTCTTCTTCCACACCTCCAACAGTCGAATGATTCATTATTTTCTCTTCTGTTCCAACTTTGAGTTCTTCTTTCGGCCCACTTCTCATTCATTGTATTTTTGCTTGTTCCTTTCTTTATTGCACATACTTACTTCTTCCCGTTTTATTACTTCTTTCAGCTGCCTTTTATTCGCTTCTGTGCTCATACAAAGTTGTTCAGCCATTTCCAGATTTAAATTAGTTTTACTTAGCAACTTTGCTTGCAACTTATCATCATTAACTCCTAGTACCAAGCGATCTCTAATTAGTGACTCTTATTGCAATTCTTTACTAAAACTTTTAATGTTTTTATATAACTTTCAATGCTTTCTCCTTCTACTTGTGCCTTCGAGAAAAACACATACCTATTATACGTTTCATTTGACCTTGGATTACAATAACTATCAAATGCTTCCACTACTTTTCGATAGTGTTTTTTGTCTTCTTCACTTAAGTTTAGCGTATTAAAAATATCTAGAGCTTCTTCTCCTGCACAGTTAAGGAATATTGCAACCTTGCGCTCGTCCTCGATGCATGACGTTTTCTCGTGAAAACAACCTATTATTACCATGTATTATAATACATTGATACCAACTATTATTACAATATGTAACAAACATTCTCCTCAACTCTAGTCGGACGGAAGACTGCACGATGACGTCACTATTCAATACAGAAATTGCGGCTAGCGCTCCAATTTCAGTATTGAATGGGGATTCCACTGTGTAGTCTACAGATTTGACTTTCTCACGTACAAAGACTAACAAGTGACGAACACACAAACAAGGACAACCCTGTTTTTTACGTTTTTCAGGGATGACACTCACAATTAAAATCAGACAAAAACTTACAAACTTAACCATTATCGCTCTTGTTAATCACCACAACTGGCATATAATATTGTTTTAATAAGGAGATGCCAAGTAAATTCAAAATTATAAAAGTAGTTTCTCAAATACGGCCACAACATCGGTAAACTAGTAGGCTACGCTTCCAGCAGACACTATTGGAAGTCCCTCTATTCATATATTTATATATTATAATATATATATTATATATTTTGTATTTGTAAACTATTTAACACAATTGTACATAATGTAAATAAAGACTTTTGAAATGAATGAATAAATGCGAAAAAAACATTCTCCTTTTTTTGAAGTCGATTAAAAATAAAAATAATTATTCAAATTTAAAGTGTGTGGTCGATGACTCAAATCAACAAAACCGCCGGTTATCAAGTGATTTTGCCAGATATAATCAACGTAGTCAATTTTTTCTTTGCAAATATACTAAAAAGATAAATACGAGTGGAAAATTCTGAACGCGAGCATCGGATTTTCATTCCAACAGAGTAACAGACTGCACTTTCTCCACTGCCACAGATACAGTAGGAGTTAAATATAGTAAAATGAAATTGACCAAAATAAAATATTTAATCTAACTTATGGTAGGCAAGTTTTTATTAAAAATATTTGCATAATTAAATATTTGCATAATTTGTCAGTTCAGGAGAAATATTATCAAATTCCATATTATATTCACCAGGTTTTGAATTTAAGTTCGGCTTAACAAACGCCGCTTACCTTTGTCCAGACAAATTCAAACTAAATACTAATACGTCGCGTAGAACTGTCAGTCATGAAATTCATGACTATCTACAATGCGGGCGTGGTATTCACAGTCATTGGGAAGTAGCTATTACATAATATGAACATTCTGTCTCTAAAGTTAGAATGAAATACACGTAAAATACTCATTCAATCTCAAGAGCGAGAAAATTTTCTTTCTGTTATTATAAGTGGTATCGGAAGAACTATATTCAGTAGTGGCCGTGGAGAAAAATATTTAAAAATAATGTCTTTAATAAATATTCTCTTTCGATAGCATTGCACACATTTCTAGTAAATAAATTGACACCTTTTAATTATTAAAAAGCAATTAAAATCAAATTTAAAAACCTATTTGAATATAGACGTCAAATTATTTCGGCAAAAGTGCCAAAAATGTTCCCATATTTAAATCAAATTAGTAACAAATTTACTTTTTCTTTGGTGATTAGTAAAAATGGTAACATAGCAATGATTGGAACGGTATAACTGACATATAAATATGTGTAGTGTGCCGAAATGGCAGCATTTTGTGTCTGTGATAAAAGCCAAAATAAAATCAGTGTAAGGATTATTTTTTAAACAAATTTTATGTGTATAGTAATTTATTTAAAAGTGATAAAAGTCCGTTGTCTTTTAAAGTCTCTTTTAATAAATTACTGTAGTAGTTTTGCCCACAATGCGTCGGAGTGGGAAACAAGGCACGAGGTTCGAAAAAGAATTGGAGGGTTCGCTTGACGTGTCGGAATATATCCCGAAACTATTCTAACAGTGAACTTTGAAATCGTTAAAATCGTAGGTTTACATTTTTCAAAATTAAGCAAGGTACATCTTAAATTTTGAAGTTTCCAACTTTCAGGGACACACTATATAAATATTGACTTTGAATAATTTTAAAACTTGAAATCTGACATTAATGTCATTGAGGCGATTTTTTAAACATTTCAAACGCATGCCCTGTATTTGTCGGTAATCATTTTCTCTACACTAAATATTTAATTGCTAATTAGAAATTATTTTAATATGCCAAGTCTAATTTACATCTCGCACGCTTACAGTGTACGTATTATTGGGTTTTAGTACTATTCTAAAGAAACGCTGGGAAATAGTAACAAAACTACCAATATATAAAACAAGGTTAATGCTCTTAGTAGTCGATACAGCTGATATTGAAATAAATATTCATTGTAATAAATTATTTTGGAAAAAAATTATATATCTAAAATATATCTGTTTTTTGCAGTGTTCCAATATTCAAGACGTTACCTGAAGACACCTTAATCAAGATTTCCGATGTTTTGGAAGAAACTGTCTACGCAAATGGCGATTACATCATCAGACAAGGAGCCAGAGGTGATACCTTCTTTATTATCAGCAGGGGTAGGGTAAAAGTTACTTTGAAGAAGCCTAACAATCCGAAAGAAGAATTCATCAGGACCTTAGGAAAAGGAGACTTCTTTGGAGAGAAGGCATTACAAGGGTGAGTCACTAATTTATTAAATATACTGATTATTCTTATGTATGGTATTAATACAATGTGACCTAAAAGATCTATTGTGTCCCCTTTTGTCGCTAAAGCAGCAAGGGAATAGTCTCGATGTCTATAACGACATTTCCAATCCTATATCTTCCCAAAGAAATGTAGGATTTGGAGTGGCTCTAAATTGGGTAGATTGTCCTCTTCTATTTGGTATCCAGTCAGAATATAAACGGAGATTACCTCCTTTTACATACTCTGCACTCACTTTCTTCTACTAGTCTCAGTTTACTGTGTCCTTCGGGTTGGCAATGCCTAGTAAGGATCCCTGTTACAATGCGTAGCTTGGTTTTACCGAGACATACAGGCTTTCAATCTCTCCTAGTTATAGTCACCCAGAAGTATTTTAGCCTGTTTTATGCCCATGAGGTTGTTCTAATTAGCGGTTCTTTTATTACCAAATTTTTTTTAATATCTCCTAATATTGTGTTACTGCTGATCCTGCAAAACGCAAAACGGAGTGTTAATGTTTTTTCCTCGCCTAACTCATTCAGTTTTTCTAGGCATCCCAGACCATTTTTGAATTGATTGTTTAACGGACAGCGATAGTTATCTCGATGTTGAACTGGATACACTTCTCAATGGAATAAATCCGCCTGAAATATTCTTTAAAATTAACCAAAATTTTCAGAGTACCCATATTTTTAGAGTAGCATACTTTCTTATTGCAGTTCCTTCTGTAGTTTTGGAATCATCCGTATACCACTAAATTGCATGCCAACCGGTTGCAAACAAATTATTCTTTGTTGCTCTCTTTCTTGCAATCCAGCCCTGTGGTTTTAAAGTTTTTCACAGAATTGTAATTCTTCCTCATTTCTTCCTAGGGCATATCCCAAGTATCTTCGTTCCTGAAGCTAATATACTTCCCTCTGTTTACTCTTTTCCTTATCATTCTTCGTCTTGACCTTTTTGCTACGTTCTCTACCATTAAATGTAGAGGAGTGTCAGGAGTGAGGTTTAAGATACCTCTATTCCGGCCGTAGGATAGGTTCACATTGCAAACATAGGCTAATCTTGTTGAGATATCTGCTCTCTTAGTAGCTAAACTGGTTCGTTATTCCAGGCTACAGACCCGTAATAGCCGGATAGCTAGTAACACACATTTCATTAAGTGTTTGATGCACTTTGAAATTTTGTAATTTGAAATAATTTGGATGGAAAAGCAGATATACCTGTGTTTGCTAGACCCACCCCGGGACATCAGGTACTGCGCATAATAGAAAGGGGTCGTAAAATATGACCTAAAAAAAGTGATTGATTCAGAGGCCAACAAACAACAATTGAAAGTTTAGGTAATTCTAAAAATACTAGGAAAAAAAAACAAAAAAAAAAAAAAAACTAAAAAACTAAAAGTTTCGGGGCTCGAACCACCAACTTGCTATCCGCACTATCAAAATTTGGATAGTGTGGATAGCAAGTTTTTGGTTCGAGCTCCGAAACTTTTAGTTTTTTTTTTTTTCTAAAAAAAAAGGAAAAATATTATTGTTTTATTATTTCACAGTCTTGGTAATTTAAAATGTTTAGTTTTTAAAAAGTATATACTTATTCAATGCATAGTGGCGCATAACGAGGTTCATTCATTTTTATGTTGGCCGGCAATTAAACCCCGGAAAAAGTGTCTGCCTTTTTGGAATTAATTTTTTTTATTTTTAATTAAGACGCTATTAAAATTTCAGCGTGATTCAAACACTTTAAATCATATTTTAAAAAAATCGACTTTGGGGTTGATTTATCAATTATAAACCCTCTCAAAAGTGCCTAAATTACTAGTATTTTTAGAATTACCTAAACTTTCAATTGTTGTTTGTTGGCTTCTGAATCAATCACTTTTTTGGGTCACATTTTACGACCCCTTTCTATTATGCGCAGTACCTGATGTCCCGAGGTGGGTCTAGCCAACACAGGTATATCTGCTTTTCCATCCAAATGATTCCAAATTACAAAATTTCAAAGTGCATCAAATACTTAATGGAATGTGTGTTACTAGCTCTTGGACTATAAGTGATAATTGGTCTCACTATTGCTGTATACATATATCGCAGAGTGTTACATCCTCATCTTTTTCCCCGCAATGTTCCTGCATACCATTAGGGCTTTTGTGGCCTTATATACTACTTCCTTATCATATTCAGAGAAATTTGTTATCCAGTGTTAGGCCTGTAGTTACGCCTAGATATTTGATTTATTTTTTCTATTTTATATCTATCCCTTCTAATTTGACGGTGTTCTCTTTTCCTTGAAACGATACTAAGTTCTACCTCGCGGTACCAATTTTAATAATAAATCGGTCCTTTTTTGTCTGGCTGTTGGCATTGGATTGAGACTATTTACCACAAATGCCTATTAGAGAAAGGCAAATGTAGGATATGTTAATTTTTGTTAGCCCATTAATAGTTAATTTGACAAGATAGGGAAGTAACTAGAAGCTAGCAGTTACCGACCAATAACTCAACAATTTATTTTAAGAAGATATATCAGTACCTTACGGATAAAGTTGGAAATTATTGTATAATCTTTTTTTAGGGACGATCTAAGAACTGCCAACGTAATAGTAGACGACCCTGAAGGAGTTACTACCCTGGTGATAGACCGAGAGACATTCAATCAATTAATTTCCGATCTAGATGAGATCAGAACTAAATATAGAGACGATAATGCTGAAAGAAGAAGGTACGTTTTTATTTTATTTATTTTGTAACTTAGTTTTAGATAATTATAAAATTTATCATTTTTTTAACATTTAGCTTACAAGGAAGTTTCTAGCTGTAAGTATGTTGGATGATAATACATTTTTAAGTTTAACAGACATAGTAGACAATGATACCTAAAATCAATTCCGCATATCCCGCATAAAATGGTATATTGTTTTACGAGTAGTGATGGTAATGTTTTTCAAAAATTAATTTTTGTCAAGTATAACGCTACGCTTTTTCTATGCCATAAAAAAAAACAAACAAATTAGTACATGGAAATTGTACCCAAAAAGAAAAAAAGAAGTGTTGTCTTACATCAAATGAGGTAATTCTGATTTTTTTATAAGTTAGTAGTGATGGAATAGCTAATGACACCTCGAAAGCCCTTCGGATCACAGTTAAATACTTGAAAATTCATTAAAATTTAGGAGTTTTTTCGAGTTTTGTCAATTTCTACCACCAAGAACCTACGTTACGGCAAAAGTTACTATTGACACTTTTTAAGTAGACTAAATTTTCATATAAATGAGAATAATTTGGTTTTGATAGACCAAATAGTTTTTAAGCTAAGGCTATTTAAAAGTTTGCAAAATTTCAAAAAAAGGAAGTATTACTTTTTTTAGTTTTCGGGAAAAGTTACTTTGTTAGTTATTAAAGTCCACTAAATTCCCAACAAAATGAGACCAATTATGTCAACTTACATCTGATAGTTCTTGAGACACAGCTGTGCAAAGTTGTTGAGGTAAGTAACCAATTATGTAATTTGGTTTTGGTAGGCCAGATAGTTTGCAAAATTCAAAAAAAAAAAAAAGGAAGTATTACAATATTTTTTAGTTGTCTGGTAGATTTTTACTGAAAGTGTGTTGTTTTTACTTTTATGTGTAACCATAACATATATTTAATATTATAATGAAGAGTTGAAGGACTTTTTCACACATGAATTGTCCCCATTTTCCATGTCATTATTTAATGAAGATTGAATCAGGAAGGGTACAAAGTCATCATTCTACATAGCCTTAAATTCTGAATGAGAATCAACAGAGGAATGCTACGCATGTAGTTGTAGACCGTAGACATCTGCTCCACAAAGTAGTGTGGCCTCGTAATGCGTCTTTTGGAGAAATTGGTTCCAGATATGTCCAATACTTGCAAAATCACTACGGCTCAAATATAACTATAGTTTTCAATGGCTATCCATCTGACGCATCAGACAAAAATACCAAGAGCTCTGAACGTCTGCGTAGAGCTCTAAAAACGTCCTCTTCTGATGTTATATTCGATGAAACAGTCATTGCTTCAGTTGCTCAGGACAAGTTTCTATTGAATAACAGGAATAAACTTAGACTCGTCGACATGCTGAAAGTTTACCTGGAGAAGAACAAAATTCCAACATTACAGGCAGAGGAAGATGCTGATAGGTTAATAGTAACCATAGCCATTTCCATATCCTCTTCCTACGAAATAGTGAAGATCGTCGGCGAGGATATAGATTTGTTGGTCTTACTTTGTGGTTTGTCACGAGATGAAGGAGACCATATCCTTTCAACAAACAGACCAAATAGCATTATTATATTTGTAAAATGTGGGAGAGGAAGAAACACAGATGTCACCTACTCGACAAATTCCTTTACGCAATTATCACAATCCTGAATAGTACTGTTTCTTTACGCGTTTAGCGGTTGTGATACAACATTGGCACCTTTTGGCCAAGGAAAAAAGAAATTTCTATCGACAATAAAAAAAACGGCCATGCCTCGAACAAAACGCAGAGGTTTTCTTAAGCTACAATTCCACACCTGAACAAGTTACCGACACAGGAAAGACCTTCCTCGTTTCACATTATGGAGGGAACAGAGAATCGCAAAATCTTAGCGATATTCGCTTCAAATTGTTCACTAGGGCGGCAGTTAAGCCCAACATGAACATCGCCAGATTGCTTCCAACCAGGGATGCTGCAAGATTTCACTCTCTGCGAACATACCACCAGGTGAGAATAAGTTTCCTTATTTTGTTGTTCATTTTGTTCAGGTACAGAAGTGGCTGGGAAATGAAAAGAATCATCTCGATTGAGGCTGGATACGGAGTACACAAGGCCTCGTTCCTCAATAGATGATGGCACAACCAGCTCCTTAAGCTCTGCTTAATATATTTGTAACTGCATAAAAGGTTGTGGTTGCAGGAAAGCAGAACTGAAATGCTCGGCTGTTTGCAGCTACTGCGAATCTTGCGAGAACATACCAGACCTGATGTGTGACGACATTGATAAACCATTCATTGATGACAGATGACACACCATCAAATGACGATTTCGACCATCCTGAGCAGTTCGATAAAGAAATTCTACCTCGGCAAGCTGCCCCCAAGGGGTCGCTATAGGCATTGAGACATTTCCTTAGTGCAGTGGCGACAGAAGGGGGCACAATAGATCTCGCATTGTATTAACACCCCATTCTCAACATAACATAACATAAGCTGCCCCCAAAAGGTATGCTGTGGATTCAAAAATATACAAAAAATGCGAGTAATAACTGTGCTGTACATAAAATGAAATGAGGCGTTTCATTAAATTTTTCATATTAATGTTTTAAGAAGTAAAATGTTTATTTTAATAAATTATAATGCTTATTTCTCTAACAGGGCGTACTTCATTTTACAAACCCTTCTAGTATATAATTGTTTACTTAACTCAACAACTTTGAACAACTGTATCTCACGAACTATCAGGTTTAAGTTTACATAATTTTCTCATTTTCATGGGAATTTAGTGGACTTAATAACTAACAAAGTAACTTTTCCCATAAATCCACTCCTTAGGGGTAAAAATTGTCGAAAACTAAAAGAAAGTAGACTTCCTTTTTTTGAAATTTTGCAAACTTTTAAATAGCTCTATTTGGCCTACCAAAACCAAATTATTCTCATTTCATTGAAAATTTACTCTACTTAAAAAGTATGCATAGTAACTTTTGCCGTAACACAGGTTCTTGTCGGTAAAACTTGACAAAACACTGAAAAAATTCCTAAAATTAAAAGAATTTTTTAGTATTTAACAATGATCCGAAGGGCTTTCAAGGTGGAAAATTTGGATTTGTCATTACCATCTCATCACTACCAACACATAAAAAAATCAGAACTACCTCATTTGATGTAAGGCAAAAATTACCAATTCCTTGGACTAAATGCTTTATTTTGTATTAGAAGCAATAAAAACCTCAATTAATTTAATATTTAGCATCTCACACTGACACTTCTGAATAATTTTCTCGGAGGTAAAATTTATATTAAAATTTTCTTTCTTAAATCTGTTTTTCCTAGACTTCTTGCGGTAATTTCTTGGAAATAAGGTTTGGTGGTTTTCTTGTTTTATTTTATGTTAAACTATTATAATTTTTTTAATTTTACTTTATATTATAAATTTTAATAAAAAAACTCCTGTTTTTTACCCTTTTTAGAGCATGGTGGTCATCGTTATGATTGTTTTATGATTACATCTGAATGTTTTTTTTTTGTTAGTCCATAAAGTTTTAGCTTATTTATTCTGGAATATTTACGACTTCATGTTGACTTCCTTGTTCATGGATGTTTCTTCTAAGTACGAGACTTATTCTGTATCTCATAGCAACCAGTTTTTGAAATATAAGCCAAACAAATGTATATACTGTCCTTTATTTTTTTTTTAAATTTAGAGTTTAATAGCAATTTAGTATTGTATTGTTATCTTCTAAAATTCAGATCACTTTTATCTAAAAAGGAACCAGCAGTAGTGTTTATAAACAAGCTGTATTGACATATTGACCTTTAGCTTTTACATACCGGCTCAAAAATTTTAAAACCATATCAAAGTAATATAAACTTACTGTTTGAAGTGTTCAAGCTTCCCTACCCGACGTAAAAAAGAAAACAGATTGATTAAGGTATAAAATAACCTTCACATTTAAGTTTTAAATTTATATATTGTTTTGTTTTTCATTAAGAACATAAATTTAAGATCCAGTCCGCTCCTGTCATCATATGCGTGTAGTCATAATAATTTTACATCTAGCAATTCTTTAATTCGATTTCTAAATGTTTTTTTTTTGCGAACTTGGTCGAATTGATTGAAACCCTGTGTACTTCTGTTTTCTTTAGAGTGGACTCGATTTTCGAAAACGTCAAACTCTCGGATCTCGTCATATTGACAACCCTAGGAGTTGGAGGCTTCGGTAGGGTGGAGTTGGTCCAAATCAAGGGTCGCCCTACCAAATCTTACGCTCTCAAGCAAATGAAGAAGGCCCAGATTGTCGAAACGAGACAACAACAGCACATCATGTCCGAAAAAGAGATTATGGGCGAAGCGAATTGTGATTTTATTGTTAAGTTGTTCAAGACGTTCAAAGATGCCAAGTATTTGTACATGTTGATGGAGAGCTGCTTGGGAGGGGAGTTATGGACCGTGTTGAGAGATAAGGGACATTTTGATGACGGTAAGTTACAAAAATATTTAAATTTTTAATTGATCCTTCAATTCGAAATGTAATGCTTAGATTAAAGAGACCAAAGATGTAACATTGCACATCGCGCACGTTATCTATTCCAACCCTAAGTAACCCACCAATTAAAAATCATTGTTTCCACGACGCCACCCGAATTGCTCCGACATTTTTATTCTACGCTCGTCTCCGCGTGAGTGAATCATCATGGACCGCCGTTTTTTTGAATTGTTGGTGTTATTAGCAATTTAAAGTGTTAGTTATTCAATTTCAAGTTAAAAATGCCACGATGTATCGTAAAAAATTGTATATACAAATAATATAAGTGTCAATGTTACAAAAAATAAGAAATATATTCGTTTTCAGCGGTAAATATTTATTAACGTTTTGACATAAAGACGCCATGATTCTTTGGGCTGAATACTTCAGATCCGCATTAAGGGGTTTCAATAAATATTAAGCATCAAATACATAAAATTTACAAAAGGGCAACATTTTAAACTTAATGTAATTACTAAATTTTGTTTTTAAAAAGTAGTTTTATAAGAATATTTACTAAAGTGGTTTTTAGCCCTTTTTGGTAGTTAAATAAGAAGTAAAGAAGCATAGTTGCTATTAGATGAAATACAGGATCACCTACTTAAAATTTTAAGTTTCATTTTATTTTGGTTAAATCGGAAGTGATATTTGAATCTTTTATTTCAACATTTTACTGTAATCTCTTGCAGAAAAGTCCATAGTAAATAAACGCTAACGAAATATTCTATAAAAGGTCTTCTCTTTACATAAAATGTCGTAGTATCTGTTAGATATTAAAAAAATCACGTTAGTTTTATATCATAATACAAAATTCCATTAAAAATCTTTTAAGTAAATCTAATAGTTCATTATGATGCTAATAAACAAAGTCCGTCCCTATCACAGAGTTCGGGTCTTCACTCATAGGCGTCGGATTTCAAAAATTGCTTTGGGTGCCCGGCTTCTATGCGAAAAATGGGGGATATCCTCCCCCCCAACCTCCTCACCTCACTTAAAGGAACCGCCGGTTTTTTAAAAAGCTATTTTAATGTTGATTTTATAAAAAAATTTCTTGAAAAAAAAAAGGTATTGTCAACTGTCCAATTGCTGGATAGGCTGGAGGCTCCAACCTAAAACGGGATATCTGGCAACCCTATATGGTCGGTGCAGCCACCACTGGTATTTTGAAGGTTTTTTACATAGATTATAACCCCCGAGTTTTAAATCGCTACTGTCTTCCTAGCCATGATCTTTTAACGATTTTTATTTTCTGTAAAAGCTTACCAGTTACTCAAGTAAATGCTAGAAATGCTGACCCTGCGCCTCTATGCAATAATAGAGGTTTTGTTCAAAATGCTCTCGGACATTTTGAAGCATCTGTGGGGTGATTTGATGACATTCATCAATTATCTGTTGTCGCAGATTTTCCAGTGATGTTGGCTGGGTGGCATAAATTTAAGTTTTTAAGTGGCCCCATAGAAAAATCCAACTGGCTTAGATCCGGAGACTGTGGGTCCACTCAATACTTCCTCTTCTTCCGATCCTGGAAACTGGAAATGTTTGATCCAAATACTGACGAACAGTGGCGCACCGTCATGCTGGAATATTAAGTTGTTTACTATGTACTGGTCGTCATTCTCAAATCAACTCTAGTAAAGCTGGATAAATAGCGTTTTCTAATAATTCCAGATACATTTCTGCGGTTAAAGTTTCTGATAAAAAAAGGGGTTCCATTATACGGTTACTAAAAATGCAAGCCCAAACATTCAGTTGTTCCATATGTTGCGTATGCACTTTATGAACTATTCTTTGATTTGAATCGGACCAATAACGACAGTTGTGACAATTTACTGCACCATTTAGGAAAAAATTGCATTGGCTGAATAACACACGTTGAAAAGAAATTGCTGATCATTTAATGCCCGTTCAGTCATAATTTCACAAAATTGTATTCGCCTATCAAAATCGTCTTCGTTAAGTTCTTTTACCAGATGTATTTTTTCAATATCTTCTGAATGCTACGTCTCTTAATACCAGATGTTATATATAGCCAACTGTCTTGTACTCAATATGGGTTCTTAAACAACATGTCCTAAAATCGCCATTTTCCATTTCACGTTATTTGTTAGCTACTGACCCCGTTTTCCAAAATGTTTGGACTAACTCCAAAATGTAGTTTCGATTTTGATGTTGATTGTTAAACAGTTAGGCAGTTCTATTAGCACATTCATTGTTCGCAAAAAAAGTGAAATTATTTGCACCCTCTCAGCAATAAACCATTATCACTGATATGCAACTTTTATGCCGACTTTACAACTAAACCTTACTACTTTACGGCGACCAAAGTATGTCATCTGATATTAATTGAAAGCCACGGGAATAAAAGTAGAATTTTTATAAAGAATTCCTTTTTTTTTAATAATAATGTAAAAATTATGTTAAACCGTTTTTGTACTTTTGGTGAGCCACTGTATGGGCTACATAGATAGTAGCGATGTAAAACTCGAGGGTTATTATCTAGGTAAAAATACCTTCTAAATAACGTATCATTCGACCAATCTTTCCATTTAAGATATAACTGGTGAGTCTCACCTCCGATAGAGGGTTTCCGCTCAGGAGGTGAAACTATCAAAATAATGTTTCTCCCTAAAAAACAAAATTGACGGGTCTAAGCGTTTTTTAGTAGATGACCTTTTCTCGCCAGCAGTAGTAGAGAGCTGTTTCTAACTCTAAATGGTGCTTCTAACGGTGTTTTATCGGGAGCAACTTTCAAATGTTCTCCCTTTTCCTCTCAAGCATTTGCTCAGTGGCATATGTACAAAGATTTTGTTTTGATAATTGTAGACCGTTATTATCTTTATATTTTGACGTCATAGGGTTTTATACACCAAGAATAATAAACCCTTAAGTCCAAGTTTAACGCGGCGACTTTTTTATCACGAAAAACACAGCTCCGAACGATATTTTATTGAGGCATCTGTAGCTATACCAACTTGGGCCACGACAGCTTCTTCATTTTACTTATTGACACTTTTAGTCCGCGTTGTGCTATGGGTGCTCCGCACCCTGTTTAAAACTGCTCTGGGTGCTTGCGCACCCTGAGCCCCGAGGATTCGGCGCCTATGGTCTTCACCCAGTTCCCCCACTCCGTTAACCTTTCTTTAGAATTTGGCTACATTTGCGCAGATTAAACACCGTTGTATGTTATATCTCTGGTCTCTTTTATCTAAGGGGTAATGTAAAAATTTAAACAAATCAGGATTAGTCAAATTAATTTTTGTATAAGTTTTTATTAACTTCTTTTTTTATAAAGCTAGAGTTTATAATTCTCACTAGCTTTCAAAAATAAAAAAGAGAATTATTGGTGCCCGCCCAACTTTCCTAGAAAATTATTACGCTAAAGGTGTCTATTACGACTGAGAAAACTATGGTCAATGTGCTCATTTATTTTTTTTTATTTTTAAAGGTAAGTAATGTTTGGTGTTAAATTTCACTGAGCTAGTAAAAATCTCTTATAAGTGTTTTGAAATTAACATTTTATCACAAGGTAACATCAACACCATTGCAAATTGAAAAAAAAGTTGGAGAAAAAGGGGAGAGGTTAATAAAAACTGTCTAATGATAGAATATGAAGGATAACATTAATATAAGTGATTAAGAGGTTTATTCTGTAACGTTTTAGTTAATTTTAACCTCCAGGTTAAAAGGTTATTTATAACTGAGACATTTAAATTTTAACCCAAATCTCTATTCAATATTCCATCAATTTAATTTTGTGCTATAACCAATCCTAGTTAAAATAGACATGACAACAATGTAATATACCAAAAAAGTGGCTTGAAAGTAAGCCCAATGTAGCATTAAAAATAAGAAAAAGAATATACGAGTATTTGACATTTAATCATTACTAGATTTATTACTGACACAAATTATAATTTTAACCAAATAATACAGAATACAAAATTAAAAATAACATTCAGTTATTTTTAAAACCCAGGGTTAATTTTAACCAAATTTTTACAGAATAGACCCCTATGAAGATAAAAGATATGTTCTGTAAAAATTTGATTAAAATTAACCCTGGAGACCCCTATGAAGGTAAAAGGTATGTTCTGTAAAAATTTGATTAAAATTAACCTTGGGTTATAAAAATAACCAGATGTCATTTTTAATTTTATATTACATGTCCAATATATTCTTTTTCTTATTTTTAATGCTGCATTGGGCTTAATTTCAATTCCCTTTTAGGTATATTACATCGTTGTCTATTTTAACTGGGATTATATAAAATAGCTAATAACACAAAATTAAATTGATGGAATATTGAATAGAGATTTGGGCTAAAATTTAAACGTCATAGTTATAAATAACTTTTAACCTGGCGGTTAAAATTAACTAAAACTAAAAATTTGGTTAATCCTGGGTTATAAAAATAACCAAGTGTTATTTTTAATTTTGTATTCTGTATTATTTGTTTATAAATTATAACTAATGTCAGTAATAAATCTAGTGATAATTGGATCTCAAATATATTCTTTTTCATATTTTAAAAGCTGCATTGGGATTACTTTCAATTCACTTTTTAGGTATATTACATCGTTGCAAAGACATTACAACATAGAGACAAAATGTTTCATTCATAAATCCCATACAATTGCGGACTGTTATTGTTTTAAAATTGTTAGTGAGTGGAAGAGAGAAAGACAGATCTCTTAGGACCGGCTGACAACGTTGTAAACAGTGTCCATAATATGCTCGCCATTGGCGTAGAGTTTTAAACTTACCATCATTGTCAGAGTAGTATGTTAAAAAAATACGTAAATAAGTAGGTATATTTTTTTAATAATATAATTATGATGATGTTTTCATGTAGGTAAATTCAAGTACAAGTAAATTCAAATACAAGAAAATTCAAGTTACCTTCCGATTTTTAATATTTATTGGTTTATAGTTTATTGGCATTTACTTATTTACTA